GGGATGTTATCAGAGATACAAAGAAAGGAGACATCAAGCCTTGAAAAGACATGGAGGAACCGTAAATGCACATTACTAAGTGAAAGAAGCTACATACCATATGATCATCCTGGATAAAGCAATGGTTTCCAGGGGTGCAGGAAAAGAGAGGAAAGACGCACAGGTGAAGCAAGGAGGGTTTTTAGGGCAGTGAAACGATTCTATGTGCTACTGTAATGGAGGATCCATGACACTTCGCATTTGTCAAAACTCATAGACCTGTACGGCATAAAGACTGAACTCTAATGTAAACTAAGAACTTTAGTTAATAATAAGGTATTAGTATTTGTTCTTCAGTGGTAACAAATATCCCACACTAACGCAAGATGTTAATAATAGGTGGGAGGAGGGAGACAGACGATATCTGGGAACTCTCTGTATTTCCTGCTCAGTTTTTATGTAAACCTGAAACTGCTCTAAAAAATAAAGTCTAGGGCTGGCCGGTTAGCTCAGTTGGTTAGAGGGTGGTGCTGACAACACCAAGGCCACAGGTTCGATTCCTGAACCAGCCAGTGGCCAAAAAAAAAAGGCCTGTTATAAAACACACACACACACAAAGTCTATATTAATAACTGTGCTTCTTATTAACACATTGATTAATAAAATCTCATAGTTTTTTTTTTTTTTTTTTGTCTTTTTTTGTTTTTTTTTTTTTNTGCCACCCAGCCCAAAACAGTCTAGATCAGCTGCTCCTCAAAAGACCCACAGAGGCATATTTTTATTTTTATTTTTTTTATTTTATTTTTATTTTTATTTTTATTTTTTTAAAAAAGATGACTGGTAAGGGGATCTTAACCCTTGACTTGGTGTTGTCAGCACCACGCTCAGCCAGTGAGCAAACCGGCCATCCCTATATGGGATCCGAACCCGGGGCCTTGGTGTTATCAGCACCGCACTCTACCGAGTGAGCCACGAGCCGGCCCCATATTGTTATTTTTAGCTACTGAGTCCTGGAGTGGTTTGTTACACAGCAAAGGCTATCTGATACAATAAGGGAGAGTAGCTTTCCTGCAGAAAGCATCGTCTGAGCTGATAGTTAAAACTGGAGCAGTAATGGCAAATAAACACATGAAAAGATGCTCCACATTGTATGTCATCAGAGAAATGCAAATGATTAATATAACAAGATCCCACTACACACCTATTAGAATGGCAAAAATCCAAAACACCGACAGCACCAAATGCTGGTGAGGACGTGGAGCAACAGAATTCCCATTCATGCTGGCGGGAATGCACAATGGTACAGCCACTTTGGAAGACCGCTTGGCAGTTTCTTACTAAACTAAGCATACTCTTTTTTTTTTTTTAAAGATGACCGGTAAGGGG